GCTATATAACATACATATATATGTATATATATGTGTGTATTATATATATCAAATCATCTCTAATTATCACTTTATAGATCTTACAATTTCATATCATACTTTAAAGATCTTACAATTATATATGTCAGTTATATCTCAATAAAACTGACAAAAATTTAGGAAGATTTTTTAAGCAGTAGCAACTGACACAACTAAGCCCTTATATTTCCATAGGCAACAAAGAGAGCATTTCCCTTGCATCACAACAAACCTGAAGACAGACCCAAAGTGGTATCAGTGCTGACCCTCTCCCTTCCCTGCATAAATTCAAGAGTTAGCCAAGTGCCAATGCTAAAATAGAATTATACAACATGCACATGGAACATACTTAGAAGGGAGGCCCAAAGAATAATCCTGTTCTCATGTAGCAAATTCAGACATGTTTAATGGGTTTTATCCACTATTTTTAAATACAGACATCCCTGACTTATGATGGTTTGACGTACAATTTTTTGACTTTATGTTGCTTAAAAGTGGTACATACTCAGTAGAACTGAATTTAAAATACTGAATTGTAATCTTTTCCAGGGCGAGTGACATACAGTATGATACTCTCTTGTGATTCTAGGCAGAGGGAGCAAGTAGCAGCTCCTAGTCATCCAGAGGATCATTAGGGTAAAAAATTGATAAACTTATAACCACTCTATACCTATATAACCATCCTGTTTTTCACTTTCAGTAATCAACAAATTACATGAGTCAACATTTTATTATAAAAAATAGGCTTTGTGTTAGATGATTTTGACCAATTGAGGCTAATGTAAATGTTCTGAGCATGTTTAAGATAGGGTAGGCTAAGCTATGATGGTATTTTGGTATGTTGGGTGTATTAAATGCATTTTCAACTTATAACATTTTCAAATTATGATAGGTTTATCAGTACATAACCCCACTGCATGTTGAGAAAGATCTGTAAACCATTTTATTCTCAGAGTTAATATCTACATGTCTATGTCTCAGAAAAAAAAAATCACTAAATTTTATGTTCTTCTCTTTCAACATTGTCAAACATGAGGTTCTCAAATTACTCAAATAATATCACTTGTTTCTCTGAATCACTCTCATTCCTTTGTTATATTCTCTCTCATTATTTATGACCTCTCATTTTCACAAATTTGTTTATTTCTGAACTTTAATGAAATTCTTACTTTTAGATATTGCAGCATAAGACAATAGAAAAAAAATCCCTGTCAAGTAGGAGCTCATTTTATATGTGTGTGTGTGTGTGTGTGTGTGTGTGTGTGTATATATATATATGGGGGAGACAGAACACCAGGCATAAAATGAATCAAAATTGGTGTGTGCATTGATAAGGATATAAACACAACACTTAAGTGTTGGAACTAGGGAGCCAAAGCAAATAGGATTCAATGAATGCAGCTATTTACATTAAGGCATATTGACCAATACTGAGACACTTCAGATCTGGGTGCCATTCAACAATGGTCTCATCTCAAATTTACCATTTTATTAATGGATCCATTCAGATGCTCTCTCCAAACCAGCACTTTCTCCACTAATGGAAGGGAGGTATGGGTGTGGGTGTCCAGGTTGGACAAAATATTTCTAGACTTGGGGCTCCTGCTGGCTCAGTCAGTGCAGCACATGACTCTTGATCTCAGAGTCATGAGTTCAAGCCCCATGTTGAACACAGAGATTACTTAGAAAAAGTATTTCTAAACCATTAGTTAGGGAATGACAATGCACAATAGTATTATGAATGATGATAATCATGAATCAATGACACAATTTAACAAGGCATTGGTTGGATCTATCACTCCTCCAAATTGAACCAATAGCAGTACTTTTCTAAAGGTACTGAAGGTAAGAAATCTAAAGATAATGTAGTCAGAAGATATCTTAAACTTACTTGGAACTGCTGATTAAAAGCCAGAAGGAAAGCAAGGAATACAGATCCTATTTACCTATTGTTTTCATTGTCTTTCTAGAAATCAACAGTTTCTGACAACTTGGTCAGCCCTTACTGAAAGGGCAGTATTCACCTCTTTACAGTCTCCACAAAGGTGATTTTTCTTACTCTTCTGGACTTTCCAACCTAAGAGTAACGAGAAAGGCTCATGTACAGTTCCTTCTTTTCCTTATTGTTTCTTCTGGACTACCATTTAAAACACATATATATCATTCTCATTCATCATTAGTCAGTAGACTTCTCTTCAGGACTCCTTGAATCTTAATACTAAACAAATGAACTGGATCAAATAAATGGTTATAACTAACATACTCTTTTGGGAAATACCCATCATACTTAGCATGGTAGAATCGCATATAGATACACAAAAGAATAATTTTTAAAAGTTAGAAAATTCAAAGACAGCAATATTAATACAATATTATAGGGACACTGAATGGTCTCACTAAAATCAGTCATATAGGCTGTACTATATTGTTCCTTTCCATGATTGCATGCCATCAGTGACTATATTGTACAACTTAACGTGTTATTAAATTGACCTGTCCACAGTCTCTCCCCAAGAACAATTCTTCTCTTTCAAGGTCATTTTATTTTATTTTTTCCAAGGTAATTTTAAAAGTAGAGAAGTGTAGAATACATAGAAAATAAATGTATTCTAGGGACAGATTACACATAAAAAGATAAATACTACAAAACATGTTCATTCTATCCAGAAGGAAAAGTCTACCATCCATAAGACTTCCTATCTGGATTATTTTTGTATGAGGCAACACTGTAGAAAAAAAGGACACCAGTGGTACATGCCATATAAGCAGGAAAGAAAACAAGGGCTGCATTCTACTCCTCCACAGTTATCAATGGGAATTTTTAACTCAACCCATAATGTTCAACATAAAAAGTCTAATCCAGCAGATACTCAATTTCCCTATACTATAATCTACATTTGCAATTTCCAACACAGCAGAGTGTAAAGAATCTATGATTTCCTCAGTCATGGCCAAAACATTCCCAGAAAATATCCTCAAGGAGCTGCCTCATATTGGGTCTCTATAAATTTTAATTTCTTAGCCCTTTAAGTGAATAATTCATCAAAATCTTACTCATCCACACACTAAACAAGATGTTAGTGAACACAATTATAAAATTACATTATCTGCTACATACTAGGCTCTGTAAGGTAATGGAAAGTTAAATATGAATAGGAAAACATCCCTGTCAAAAGGAGCTCATTATTTCTAGTCTATTAAGACACATAAATAAAAGAAAATTTGGTAACTGAAATGTTAGAGGCATAAGAATGATATAAATTAAATGGTGATAATTCAGACTGGTTGGATAAAAAATTTCTGGACTCATTCTTAAAACATTAGGGAATGAAAATGTGTAATAAATTTATGGAACTATTCCAGATTCAATTTAAAAAGATCACCTTCCACATTCATATCTTCTCCTTGACCGTAGAGATGTTATTTACATTTATTATCCTACAGAACTAGTATTTAAAATGTACCTTCAGCACACTTTGACCTTGTTCTTATAGTTCTTTCCTTCAAAATTCTGCCTTCTGTACATTTTGTCTTGCTTCACTCACTTGATTTGTAACACCATCCTTTCTTCATGCCTTTTCACTTGTTCATGATTAGGCTGTTAATTTTTCTTTCACTTGGCTCCTCACCTGTTCCTTTCTTCAACAGTCTTTGCTCAACATCTCACAAAAACAAGACCTCTGGAACTAGCAAGCAATTTTACCTTAATAAAATATTCTACTGTGTTCAATAGATGTAGGAGCCGATCAACACAATGCAAGTGGGAACTCAATGGATAAAGTCACACAAAGATAATTACTGGAAGACAGAGTAGTTGTAATGAAGACAACCAGCTCTATCCCATATGCATATAATGTGCAATACTGAAAAGGATCTCAAATTGTACAACTGAGATGTATCTTCATTTTATTATGATTCATGCAAGCAACTCACAACACATCAGCATCTGTCTGTGCCAGGTTGACACTGGTAACAATATTACAGAGCAAATTGTGGACTCAAGAGGGCTCCTTTGATTAAAAGCACTACCTACCCTCCCCACCACACAGCACTTTTACTTAAAATCAATGACATTCTCTTTATTTCCAAAATTAACTGTGCCTTCCAATGTCATGTGAAAGCCAACTGCTAACCCATTATTATTATTATTTTTTAATTCATTCACTTCCCTTCAGGAACAATGAAATCCTTTAATTTTCATTCAGTAACTCTAGCCACGCTTGACAATCTCTTTTAATGAATTCTCCTCATTTACTCAATATCTAAATTCTAGAGGTGGCACAGTCTTAAGGTGAATATATTCTTACTCCCATGTATACACCATCTCAAGATGTCAACCTTTCATATGGCCATAAGTAACAGCCTGTACCGACTCATCCAAAGTAATATCCCAGTCCCCAATCTACACCCTGTGCTTCTGTCTTGAGTCCTATTTCTACATTAAAATTCAACATCTTAACCCATAGGTTTAATATGAATATGAAACTGGCAAAACAGATCAATTTCTTACCATGCATTTTGAGGAAATCAGCATTGCCTAGCATAGTAAATGGTATTACCATTTACTCAGTTGCTGAGGTCCTGATCATACTATCCTATTTGAATCTTCTTGTTTCACCCAGTACCATTCAATACTTTATCAAGTAGGACTGACAATACTTTCAAAATACATCCTAAATCCCATTACTTCTCAATACTTCCATAGCATCAACCCAGTACAATACCTTTCATATGACTTTTGAAATAACCATGTACCTTGCCTTCTTATTTCAGGTCTTGCTATCTCATTAGTATTTTATTCACAGTGATTTTTATCTTACATAACTTGTTTATATAAAAATATAGAAAACATAAGAATGATAGAAGTCAAAATTTGGAAATTTTTAAAAAATGAAAGAAGTTGGCATGTTAATTATGAATAAAATACAGCCATTGAACAGGACAATAATTCTTGCCCCAAGCACTAAATGAGAACACTCTACCTTAGAAAATGCTGAATGAGAAATTATGGGAGGGACTTCTTAGGGCCTAAAATTTCTGAAAAAAAAATGATGTATCAATTTTAGAATTTATTTTGTGGTAAAATGAAAATAAAGATAACATGACTGTTAACATAATCTCATATGATGAACTATATAGAACAATATAGCAGAGAATTATTTCAAACTGTCATAACTGTAGTATTTTTAACCAATCGCATAGTTTTTCCTTGGAACTAACTTAACGTCCTATCCTATTAAACCAATTACCAGAAAAGCCACAGGCCTGGATTTTTGTGCAAATGATCTATCAAAGCAACAAAACTCAAGAGACAAGGAGAGAAAAGAAACTCCAATCTTCTCCTTAAATTTTTTTTCTTAGTCACTTCACACTACTTCCTTTGGGAGGAAAAGGCTTCACCGTGATTGAAGAAACTTTACAGTAATTACCGGGCCTCTCTTTAAGGGGACTTCAGTGTTGTGAGGTCAGCCTTGTGTTTATTCTCATTTGCATTCTTATTTCAAATTCAAGGGCTGCTACCTTGACAGTGCCTTTTTGATGAAAGACCCAGCTGTACTGCCCCCCTGCCTTCTTCTACAGAGTAGGGCCATATTGATTCCATTCAGATTTGAAATTTGAGAGGCTGTTTTCTTTGGGACTACTCTACTACTACTCGATACTTTCCTGTATCGAGAAGTTTTTGGCAGCACAGTTTCTATTATCATCTCAGAGAATAATTAAATAGTAACATGCTCTCCTGTTGTGATCTATTTATTTTTTTAAAACTCCCTTCACATCATCGAAAATTGTAAGGCTTTGAGGCTCAATTTATGAATCTGGTAATAAAACTGGTCTTAAGCACATCAACACCAAAACAATAATCTGATACATTTGGCCTCATAAAAGAGAGGAGGATGTGTTGTAGCCAGGCAGATTTCAAAATTTCCAATATACCCTTATTATGTTATATATGAAAGTAACAATATTTATATTAATACAATACAGACTTCTCTTGGACCCTGGCTGCCTTCTTAAACTGTTTTGCCTTCTTCACATGACAGCTTTCTTCACTGGTTATTTATTTACCTATTTGCATATTCATTTAGTTGATACTTCATTTGTTTACAATCAGTAATTTTTGCCTTGCTTCTGTTTTCTCCTCTATGCATTTAATGATAACATTTACTGAGCCTCTGCTAACAAGCTTGTCACTAAAGACAGTACAAAGTTAGATACGGGAAGCAGGGAGTATTCAGATTACCACTTGGATCCAAAGCCTTGGGCCATATCCATGCTTCTGTAAATATACTGCCTTAGTTTACAATTTATAAATTAGTATGACATTTCTATTCATATCAGGTGGCCTGCACTTCAGCAAAACTGAGCTAGACTTTGAAAATCATATTCAGGTGACTAAAAACATTTCATCAATTCAACTAAGTCATTTTTGGAAGCTTAAAACCTCTTCATTCTGGAAACCTTCCTTAAATAGCATGAAATTTGTGATTGTGAGTAGATTTCTTAAAATTCCCTGGTTACAGAAAACATAGAACAGACTTTATGGGTATATAGGTTTTAGCCAACATAACCACTGCCACAATCCGTATCATCGGCACAGACGGCACCACACAGAGCTGGAGAAATAGTGAAAGTTAAAACATGAATAAAAGCTCAGAAAGCGGGACACCTGGGTGGCTCAGATGGTTTAGCATCTGCCTTCGGCTCAGGTCATGATCCCGGGGTCCTGGGATCGAGTCCCGCATCGGGGTCCCTGAACCTTGGGGAGCCTGCTTCTCCCTCTTCCTCTCTCTCTCTCTGTGTCTTTCATGAATAAATAAAATCTTAAAAAAAATACTCAGAAAGCTGAGTGTTCATCTTTAGATAGCACCTCAAATAAAGTTCCTTCACCATCAATCTCAAACTCTGTAAAGGGTTATGGAAACTTAAAGCAATGAAGAACAAAAAGAGGAACACTATTGATTTACCATCTGCATAGAATATCAGGTGCATCTGAACCTGGGCTCCACTGCCATGCCTCACAGTTCAAAAAAATTTTAAAAACCACCGTTGAACACCTTGCCAATAATGATGACACCGTCATATTCCCTTGCTGGAACTTATTGCTAAAAACATGCTCTTCTCGAGTGCCTGGGTGGCTCAGCTGGTTAAGCGACTGCCTTCGGCTCAGGACATGATTCTGGGGTCCTGGGATCGAGTCCCACATCAGGCTCCCCCTGCTCTGAAGGGAATCTGCTTCTCCTTCTCCCTCTGCCTACCACTCTCCCTGCTCATGCTCTCTCTCTCTGTGTCAAATAAATAAATAAAATCTTTAAAAAACAACAACAAAACAACATGCTCTTCTTCTGCCATGTGAATACATTTCATCAACCAGCTCTAAAAAAGTTCTACCTGCCACCTCCATTTCACTCCATAGTTAGACATAAACTTCATTAAACCCTTTAATTAACTCTTCCCTGCCTTGTCCATGATCTCATTTTTTCGCTAAGTATTTTCAGTAAACACTTTGTTGAACATTTCTCACAAGCCATTATGCACAAATTCCTCCTACGAGAATACCAACTAATATGCGTAACCAATTACAGAGATTTTGAAAAGTCACCAATGATTCTCCCTAAGAATCACCTGTAACTGCTAAAACTACTAGCATAAAAGTTTGATGAGAAATAGGAAATTTACATAGTTTCAAATGATTTCCCTACAGAATATTTACTAATTACAAAGGAATGTTAACTTTAAAGTGGATAAATCTAGTGGACATCAACTGAACCAAGTGATCAAAATTAATGCCATTAATAATAGGATAAAATGATATCATTTTCCACCTGTTGTGAATCACTGAGGTAGACGGACATAAGTTATGAAATATTCTTGCCAAATTTGCATAACCTAAACCTAATCAGGAGGAAACATAAAAAAAATTCAAATTTGAGAGATCTTTCAAAAACTATGAGCCAATAATTTTTCAAGAATACTGATGTCATCAAAAGACAAAAATGAATGAGAAACTGCTCCAGATTAAATGAGACTAGAGAAACATGACACTTGAACACAATACAGAATCTTTTTTCCAGGTCCTGAAGGATGAAAGAAATGGACATAAAGAACAGTATTAGAACTGGTGAAATCTAATAATAGATGGTATATTAATACAGCATGTTAGTACTATTAATAAATTTCCTGATTTAAAAAACTGTACCAGAGTGAAGAAAAGAGGATTTGCAGGCTCTCAGAAAGTGAATGCTGAGGTATTTTGGGTTACAGTGACATGATATCTCTACCTTATTCACAAATATTTAATAGAATAAGAACAACATAAGGTCAGGGAGAGAGAGAGAAGAGATAGAAAAAAAGAGCGAAGGAGGGATGAAGGTGGAAGAGCAGGAAAATAAGAAAAAAAGAAAAAACAATGTAGAGAAAAAGTCTGGGTAAGAGTGTCTGAGGGTGGTCGCTTTATGATTCTTGCCACTCTAAATTTAAAATTATTTCAAACATAAAAAGTAAAAAAAAACAAAAACAAAAAACACACTGGTATAAGGTATGCTTAAGAAGTTTATGTACAGGGGCACCTGGGTGGCTCAGTTGGTTAAGCATCTGCCTTCTGCTCAGGTCTTGTGTCTGAGTCTTAAACTTGAGCACTTAGGAAAACATCAACTCTGGTCAGGATCCTGGGATTGATCCAGCCCCGAATAGGGCTCCCTGCTCAGTGGGGAGCCTGCTTCTCCCTCTCCCTCTGCTTGCTGCTCCCCCTGCTTGTGTTCTCTCCCTCTCTCTGACAAATAAATAAAATCTTAAAAAAAAAAAAAAAGAAGAAGTCTATGTACCTCCAAGAAGCACTGTACAGAGAAAAGGTCAATGGTTTCTACCTCTAAACAAACAGGATGACTCTTGTGATTGAAGGAAATGTGTACTATTGTGTTTTTTTTCTTTCTTAAATAAATAATATACCCCTTTTGGTCTTTTTTTTTTTTAATCCATGGCCATTTACTATTTAAAGTATACTTAAGTTAAAAGTATGGTTTTCACGTATTAGATTGGTTAAAAATTTAAAGGATTGATAATATATACCCTGTACAGGTTTTTATGAAAATTATGCACTGCCATTACACCACAGCTGTGTGCTGGCAATTTCACAATATCTACTGAAATCAAAAGTATGCAGAACTGCTGATCCAACAATGCCATAACTAAAAATCTATCTTATAGAAATAGAATCCCAAGTGCTTTAATATATTATATATATATTATAACATATATATAAAACATAATTATATACATTAAAACATTTTATGCAGCAACAAAAATAAATAAACATTTAATCTGCATTTCCCAAGATAGAGAAATGGCTAAACCCATTATGGTATCTACTTTACATCCAATGAAAAGTTTGTAGGTAAGCTACATTTATTGGTTTAGAAATATATTGGTCCACAATATATTAAAGAAAAAATACAGTTGTAAAACCATAATGATGCCATATATATATAACAAATTCCAAATAACTTCTATAAGCTTAGAAATGTTATAGACCACTGGCACAACTGATTAACTCTTGACACACTTAGGAAGTAGGAATGAAAGATGGGAGGATGAATGACCACATTTTGCTTTAAATTGTTTAATAACCCATTCATTCCTTATGGCCTTGATTCAATGTACTAGGGGTCAAACTTGTCTATTGAGACAGGTTGGACAATGCACTTCGTAGTTCTCTGATGACAGTGCAGTTTGTGTTCCAGAATGGTCAATTAAAACTTCCAACAAACACAGCCATCTATACTAAGCCCATTTAGGTTAAACAGAAAACGAATGAAAATCAGGATAATGTGAATGAAAGTGAAATATCTTTGTTGCTTGGGTTTTTTGGTCCAATTCTAGTAATAGCAATAAAATGTTAGAACCGTGTGTTCTACAGGATGGCAACACCATGGCTGTAAATGTCAGTGCAAGAATCTGGCTCTACCTTACATAACCAGAATTGTGGTAGCATCTGAGTCTTAAATTTGAACACTAAGGAAAACATCAACTATGTTCAGGCTCAGATCCTGTTCTAGAGGGAGACCTACTAGGTTCCATAAAAAGGAAAACTACAAATGGTCTATTTTCAGGTAACACAAATGTTTTAAGAGGATCTTGTTTGGGACCTCTCTAAAAACTGTGAGCTCATGATGCAAATGAGGAACAAAGTATTTTACAATTAGTATCCAACTGGCATGTGGGAGGTACTCAGCTTGTGAGAAAGCCTGGTTATAATGCTTTAGTGTGACCAAGGTGTCCATGGGATTGCATTAACTACATTTACCACATACAAATCTTACTCCCACTTCTAAAGTAAAACATAGAGAAAAAAAAATCAATGAGGTAAATAACAATAGAGGAAAGCATAAGATATATTCAGAGAACAAAGAAGTACTTAACATTCTGGGCAGTTACTTGCCAAAAAGCAGACCACTTCTATTCCTGGTGGTACATATATAAAACTTGTGCCTTTTGAGATATAAAGATGCAATGAGCTTCAAAAAGGGGAAATAAATGACAGCAATTGGGTCATTATTCTGTGCATGGTACCACCGCAGAAGGTATCGATGATCCTCTTGTACACATGTTCACCACCTGGGATAGTACAAAGGGATAGATTGCAAATGGAAATAAACAACAAGTTATCACAAAGCCATGCATTGGGACAGATGGATATCATCTTCAAGTCAAGTATTCTACTGGTATCCATGAAAAACAATTCCCATGATCCAGACACTAAGTATCTCCAATCTACAAAAAACAGGTATATTTACAGTAGGAAAACGACAAAACCATAATTTTACTTCCTCAGCCCATTTACTATGATTTGAGTACCAATCTTATATTCCAAATAATTTTCATGTCATTTAACCATCCATACATGCATTCTTTGAACAACCATTTCTTGTGTAACTTCTTAGTGTTAATTTATATACCAGTCTAGGGTTAAAAAATAAAAACCAATGATATAAGGAAATACTAATAATGTGCTCTGTAAATTTCATAGTGTTTCATAGAAATCTTTCCAAAAACCAAAACCCATTATCACAGTACCCACATATCTATTCTCCCTGCCTTCCCAGAAGGTTATGGTGCAGCTTTTGACAGCCCTAACTAGAAGAAAACTTCTATACCGTTAAGTGTTGCTTAGAAACAAGTGACAACACTAAAACTCTAGGTTAAACTATAACCTCAAAATAATCATGTAGGCCTTATAAGAGGTTTGATGAAAAAGAAATTTAGTGTCAAATAACTCAAATAAAAGTCCAAACCATCAATATAGCCAAAAAAAAGAACTCTTAAAAATCAGAATATACGCCTTAATGTCCTTACCTGTAGACAAAGTCTCTTTGGTCCTTGCTTATGAAACATGCTTGTGAAAGAAAAAGAAAGAAAGAGGGAGGGAGGGAGGGAGGGTGAGGATGGGAGGTAAGAAGGAACAAAGGAAGGAAGGAAAGAAAGAGAGAGAGAGGAAGGGAGGAAGGAGGGAAGGAAGGAAGAGAGAAGCTTGAAAATATCTGAAAAAAAAATCTTCATTCATTCATCAAATGAAAGGGTGTTAAGGATCTACTTCATTACATTAATACTGGAATATTCCACAACGCCTGTATATCTACCTTATCTACCCACTGATAATATTAGCAATACCCTAAATCAGGCATCTGGAAAAAAATTCAACTTTCTGCTATCATTAAGACCCATATTATTTGCAGCAAATTGTACTTCCTAATGGCTTTTCTTTCTAGTGCCTTTTTATCCTCCTTTCACTTTTTTCCCCACCTGCCTGACTTCTTAGTCTCCCTTTATCCATCCATCACTAATGCATGTGCTTCAAAGCATTTAATATTTAGGGGCCCCTTGGTGGCTCAGTTGGTAAGGCAACTGCCTTCAGCTCAGTTCATGATCCTGGAATCCCAGGATTGAGTCCCGCATCGGTCTCCCCGCTCAGTCGGGAGTCTACTTCTTCCTCTGACCCTACCCCCTCTCGTGCACTCTCTCTCTCAAATAAATAAATAAAATCTTTTAAAAAAAACATTTAATATTTAAATAAATTTAACATTTATGGAGTGTGCTGACAGATTATAGTCTCTGTCTACACAACATCACATTTTATGGTAAGAGTATATAAAAAGTAGTAAATGAAAATCTACACAATCTATGTATCAACACTGCATCAAAATTTAATAGTTTTTAAAATCTATTCTATTCCATCTAATTGGCAATCACTCCACAATTTGATAATACTGTTTTTTTGGAATTCATATATGGCTTGGAATCTTAAAATATTACAAATTGATTCTACAACAAACTGGTCAAAAAATAAACAAATAGTACACCAGTGTTACTGATTCTTACCAGTACTTTTGAAGAACGAAGTCCACAGAAATGAGAAACAAGCACAAGAATTTGGATTGATATAGAAATGTTAGGTATTGAAGCATCTAATATGTCTCACTTCTTAAGCTGGTTAACACCTCAGTTAAAACTGTGGAAAATATGGGAAAATTGTCATATATACCATGACCAACATAAAATACTGAAGGTAAAGTGGACTCTTTGATCAACCTCTTAAGAGTCTCCATATTATTAAAATATAAAACACTATCATAGAAAACTACGCTCATAATCTCACTATATTTGGTTTTTGGTTTCTTTTTTCTGGTTCTGTTTCACCCTCCACCCTTTCTTTTAATTTACTATCAGAACACTTTGAGACAGCAATCATTAAATTTTTTCTAATTTTATAAATAACAAATTGGCCTATATCCTTCAACAGTCCCTCCATTTTTTTCATTCAACTTTATATATGTGATTTTATTTTA